TCTTTCTTTTCTTTTCTTTTCTTCTCTTCTCTTTCTTTCTTTCTTTCTTTCTTTCTTTCTTTCTTTCTTTCTCTCTCTCTCTCTCTCTCTCTCTTTCTTTCTTTCTTTCTTTCTTTCTTTCTTTCTTTCTTTCTTTCTTTCTTCTTTTTAGGGAGAGAGAGCACGTGTGAGCTGGGCAGTGAAGACAGGGTTGGGGGCTGGGGCTTGTGGAAGCAGAGGGAGAGGAAGAGAGAGAATTTTAAGCAGGCTCCATGCCCAGTGTGGAGCCTGACGCTGGGCTCCATCTCATGACCCTGAGATCATGACCTGAGCCAAAATCAAGAGACTGACTGAGCCACCCAGGCACCCTGAATAGGCAGCTGTCTTAACAGAATTTCTAATACCTAGATAGTCAGATAATTCTTTAAGTTAAACAGCTTAAGTATTTTAAATTAAGTGAAAATAAATAAATAATTAATAGACCATGCAGTTCTTTTTCCGAACTATATGCAACAATTTAGAATGATAGTTTAATGGATGAAATAATATATACTTGATAATTATTATTTCAGGTATGGCCTAGCGTACAGTTATCTTGTGTTTTAAAGGAAGAGGAAACCAGGTGATGGCAATAACTGACGAGATAAGTTGACACTTTAAAATCAAGTTATGTAAAGGAAACAATCTTACGATAGTAATTTCTGAATCATTAAGTTCTAGCTCATAAAACGGAATGTCTGCAGTGAATATTTTAATTATGATATTTTTCAATTATAAAATCAGATCATTAAGATTCAGTTATAATCTTGCCCCTAGAGTATTTCTGATATATTTGCAATCATGCAATGTATGCCTTAATAACATGTCACCAATACTGCAGGTTTATCTTTCTACATAGGATTCTGCATTATATCGCTTATTCTGTAATAACCTAGATGATATCTTCTTGAAAACATGCAGTCGAAAACTATTTCTCTATTATTGACTACTTATTTTCAACTTTTAATATATTACCTAAAGCTATCATGTGTACCTTTCCACATGTAATATTTGACTCTGTTTTAAATGAGAAAATTGTGTGGTTTTTGTTTTTTTTTTTTTTTCTATTACAGAACTCATTAACTTATTTTGAGTGTCTGGAATTATTCTGTTTAAATTTAGGTTTTTTTGTGTTTCTGCACCTGTGTGTTCATGTGTGGTGTGTGTTAGCAGCATGATTTGCTCATCGCTCAGCAATTTTTAGTATTTCTGTTTCTTTTTTATTATTATTAGCTATGTGTCTTTGAGGAAATTAACTACTCTGATCCTCAATTTAAATATTACTTCTTACAATATATTCCCCTTGTTTTGTCCCCTTATTTTCACTTGACTGCTCGGATTTACTCTTGTTTTATTGGCAAACATCCTACCCAAGTTTAATGGCTGTGTTTATGTGTTCTGTAATATAAGCTGATTATATTTCTTCTGCAAAATTTTCAGCACATGCAGACCAACTGTTCCTCTAGCCAATGCCAGAAGGACACAGTCAATCCCCGGATATACTTGCATCACCTCTTGGGAAAAAGAACTGTGACTAGAGTAACTCTGGAAGACTAAATATTTTTACTAAACAGTCTTTAAGTCCTTGAAGAAAAACCATATAAATCAGCCAGTATAGGAAGCTAAACTCCATGTATCCTCAACATTTAAGTTAAATGGAGCCTGTATAAGAAGACATGTAATATTGTTAAGAGGAAAATGCAAGGATTTTTTGTTTTAACTCTAATCTAGTAGATGGGGGACTGTTAGACTACAGTTGTAGAAAAATGCAGAAGCTCCATTTCATTTGCACATCTGAGTAAATGTGAGTGAACTAGTATTAGGATGTAAAGGCCTTAAGAGAGCCCTAACCTGTGTCCCATTGCCTCAGAGATATTCACTGAAGCAATCAAACTCTCCCCTTACCACAAGAAATGTGAAGAATTAGCCAAGAGTGAAAAAGTCGACAGGTTTACAAGAGCTTAACAAAAATCTAAATGAGGTATACCTACAACTGGAAACATTTAGGAATTCAGTGGATGCCAACATGGATGCCAATGGTTGTGCATGATAGTTTCCACTCATCAGATGCCAGTGCGCACAGATACTTGTCATCAGAAGCCAGCTCCATAACTTGTCGTGACTCTGTGAGCTCTTAGGTTTGATGTAATCACCAGGAAAAAAAGAAGTAGAAAGGAAAATCTTGAAATTATTTTGTTTCCAAATAATATGTTTCTAAATACTTAGAATATACTAACATTTTGCTTTTTGTGATTAGTGGATTTAGAAATAGTGGATTTAGAAATTTTGAGTGTCTGGAATTATTCTGTTTAAATTTAGGGTTTTTTGTGTTTCTGCACCTGTGTGTTCGTGTGTGGTGTGTGTTAGCAGCATGATTTGCTCATCGCTCAGCAATTTTTAGTATTTCTGTTTCTTTTTTATTATTATTAGCTATGTGTCTTTGAGGAAATTAACTACTCTGATCCTCAATTTAAATATTACTTCTTACAACATACTCCCCTTGTTTTATCCCCTTATTTTCACTTGACTGCTCGGATTTACTCTTGTTTTATTGGCAAACGTCCTACCCAAGTTTAATGGATTTAGAAATAGACATAGAGGTGGCTAAATGAAAATTCAAGAGAATAATATTTTCTTTCACACCATTGTATGTGGTCTGATAACTCCTAATGATACTAATGACACTATTAATAAAAAAAAAATCCTTTTTACAAATAATAGTTTGGGCATTATAGTTTTCCTAACATCTCTCAATGTATGATTTTTTTTTCTTTTTGTTAATCTAATTTCTTTCCTAATAGCTTTTGTATATAGAGTAGGTAAGGAAAGAGTGGGTATGATGTATGTAGAAAACATTCCTGGCTAACCCAGGAATACCAGGAGATGGGTATTAAAGAGGGCACGTACTGAATGGAGCACTGGGTGTTATACACAAACAATGAATCATGGAACACTACATCAAAAACTAATGATGCAATGTATGGTGATTAATGTAACATAAAAAAAATTCCTGACAAATGATGAAGATAGAAATTGAGAGAGAAGTGAAGGAAGGCCATGTTTAAAGAGAGGAAATGAAGGCCAAGTTTTCAGACATGAATGTCTTGATTTATCATTTTGAGGTTGGTAAACACAGGGGTGTATGTTAAAATCAAATGAAAAGTTTCATGGGAATTTCAAAACTGTGGACTGTGCTGATCATTTGTCAGCGTTTATGATCTGTCTCCAATATCTTCTGCATACCAGTAACCAAATCCAAGTTTCTGTTCTAGACATTGTTTTTAAATCCTTGTTTATTTCTTCTCCCTGTGCCTGCCTCTCTCTTAATGTAGGCTACCTTAAATTCTTCTGTAACAATAGGCTTGGTTGAGAAGATAAAGCTTCTAATTAGGCCTTTGGCACAGGGTTAAGTGCCTTTATTTGAGAAAATGTAATAGACCTTTGATATTCAAATTTCTTTCATTATTTTTGTTGTTGCATGGAATCAAGAAGCACTTGGTTTTTCCATTTATGCCCCGCATTTCTAGATTTTCTCTATTGCTTCCTGTTTATACTTGAAAACTGTCCAATTTTAGGCACCTGATAATACATTGCAACAAAGAAGTAACATTAAGCAAACAAAACACAGTAACTTTCTGGCTCTTTCCAACTGCTTTCTGTGAAACTATGGGTTTCCTAGGTACTTGGTATGCCTTCCAAATTATTGCAGGCAACTAATAGATCAAATGTTTTGCCATTTTTTTTGGTCTGTGATATTATTTTTTTTACCACCTCCTGTTTCATTGCTAAATCAATGATACATATTTTAGGTTTTGGTTATGATATCATGCTATTTAATAACACTCATCTTTATTACTGCATCTAAAAGTACACACTTTTAAAAGATGTTAACTAGGAAGCCAGTTCTCTCAAGACTATTTCTTAAGACTACGACATTAGTATTTTTCCAACTTCTTTTTTGCTAAAACCCACAACAAAAAACACAATATATATTGTCATCTAGTAAACATGCACACACAATCACATGCATACCAGGTGGCTCAACTGGACATTACATCTAAACTGGAACTATTTCTGGCAAACCTGCATTTATGTGTATCCCAAATTCCCTTTCTGCTGCTAAACTGATTTCTCACAATAGATTTTTAAAAGTTGCTTAAAAAATACTGAGCATTTAGCAGTGGTATGATAAGTTAGTCTCATCAACATGAATTTTGTATCTTTATTATGGTATTATATATATTAAATAGTGAATTTAATGATTAAAGCAAATAAATATCATCCATCATATGATGATTGTTTTATTTAAAATTACATGTGCATTTTTTCAGTTAAAATATTTATCAGTGTTAAGTTGTAGCTTCATTTGATCTAACTTTAATAGTACTTGGAAAGGATTGGGGTGCCTGGGTGGCTCAGTCATTAAACGTCTGCCTTCGGCTCAGGTCATGGTCCCAGGGTCCTGGAATTGAGCCCCGCATCGGGCTCCCTGCTCAGCAGGAAGCCTGTTTCTCCCACTCCCACTCCCCCTGCTTATGTTCCCTCTCTCACTGTCTCTCTCTCTGTCAAATAAACAAATAAAAATCTTAGAAAAAAATAGTACTTGGAAAAGATTAAAAGTATACACTGGATAAAAAAAATCAATCTTTTTACTATATGAAAGAGGTCTTTATAATTTTAATGACAATAATAAAAGATACATTCTTACAATTGAAGCACAGAGTTTTCTATAAAAAGAAGGTAACGGCACTATGTAATTTCCTGAAGTTTAAAGTTTCATGGATGTGCATCTTAGTGCTGAAAGGAGAATAAATTCTAAAGTTGATTACCAAGACAAAAATTGAATATCATCATAGGTATCCTTAAGCAAACCTTAAATAAAAAAGAAATGCAAATTTGAAAGCTCAAAAATCAAGATTTTTGGTTTCTTTGTAGTTAAGCTGTGTTCTCTCAATTTGCAATCTTTTTGATGTTGTTTTAAGGCCCATTTATAGGACATTGCATGAACACAGAACTGTGTGGAAAATGCTGAAAACAATTCCAGATTTGACCTGTCAGCTACCTGAGGAGCATCTAAAAACTCTTAGCAAGAGTGTCATTTCCGAAACCTGGGTAAAAGGCAGCACAGGTAACAGACTAACCTGGAGGGAATTTGGCAACATAAAATGTATGTCACTATTTTGAGTTCTCTATAATATTGATATTTTCACTTGATACATTAAAAATGTGCTGTTTGGGTGTATTTTGTTTGTAGTTATAAGCACTGAAATGAGTAACATTCCACATTTTAGTATGGATGTTTTAAAGATAACACTAGTGTTTTCTCCACCTTGAGCATGCATCAGAATCACCCAGAGGACTCAAACTGCTGTGTTCAGTTCTAAAGTTTCTGATTTGGTAGGTGTGGGATGGGACTTAATTGCATTTCCAACAATTTTCCAGATGACACTGCTAGTATGGGGATTATACTTTGAAAACCACTCATTGATATACGTATTTAATGACAATCCAGCATTGGATTTCGTAGTTATGACAGCAAATGGTCATAGCAGTTATTTGACTTATCCAGATACTGACCCGGATATTGGGTACAAAACCTCTCCAGACAGATTTTAGTTTCCCAATTTTAAATTTGTAGTCCCTTCACCAAGGATACATTGGATACATTAATAGAAGTATTTTATATTGTAATTTTTGAGGGGTATACAAATATCCACACACAGAGTCACACACACACCTAACCCAACAGAATTCAACACCATTTTTTGCATTTGTCAAATACCTATTAGAAAAGCAGAATTAAGTCTATTTAATATATTCTTTATTTCAGGGGATATCCCTTATTTATTCACCACAGACACAAATAAAAGTAGATATTATTATTATTCTCCACAGTTGAGAACCATAAGGCATAAAATATCATGCAGAATATTTCTGAATAGAATTGAATTTCAAACACATTTTAACTCATTCTCTGTCCATTATGCTACTGTTTTTATAAAGTGGTTTATCAGGATCATGTCTTAAAAATCTAACTGTAATTTCAAAGAACGTGTGTCTATTGAAATATGTCATATATCTATTGACATATTTCAAGACTTTTCCTCCAGTGGTCATTTCTTATAATTAGTTTCATTTAATCTGACATCAAGCAGTGAAAATTAAATCATAGGAGTTTTGCAAAGGATAAAATGATTTTGAAAGGCAAGAAGGAACATTCAACATTGCTTTGCATTAACTTGAGGATAGTAAGTTTAAAAATTAATTTGTTTTTATCATAAATCCCTGAAATTATATTTATTATGGTAAAAATATGGAAACAACCTAGATGGCCTTCAATAGAAGATAGATTGAAATGTGATACATCTCTTCCATGGAATAAAAGACAGACTGCATTATGATACATGTATTCAGTGGAATTCTAGGCAGTTGTTAAAAAGAATGAGGGGGCGCCTGGGTGGCTCAGTTGGTTGGGCGACTGCCTTCGGCTCAGGTCATGATCCTGGAGTCCCGGGATCGAGTCCTGCATCGGGCTCCCTGCTCGGCGGGGGGTCTGCTTCTCCCTCGGACCCTCTTCCATCTTGTGCTCTCTGTCTCTCATTCTCTCTCTCAGGTAAATAAATAAAATCTTAAAAAAAAAAAGAATGAGGTAGATCTCTCTGTATATTTACATGGAAACTTATTAAAATTATTAAAGACAGTAGATAAAAATATAGCAATTGTGGAGTTATATAAATAATATGGTTATATTTTCACATATTTATGAAAGCCTGAAATTATATTTACATATATATCTGCATATATACATATATAAAAATTCATAGTAAAAAGCACAAGAAGTAGATCCAGCAAAACAGTAAAAAATATGTATTTTAAAAACTGTTACCTTGGTGGAGGGGAGAATTGAGGGACAGTGAAGAATTAGCTCTTTCTTCTACATATATTTGTGTTGAATTTTTCACAATAAAGGTATATTCATGGGTTAGAGTTTTGTAACTACATATTTGTTTTTTTCAAAAAAGTTTTAAAATTATAATTCAAAGCAAAAACTGTATTCTGATGGTATCTTGTAACTTGGATGATTAACTATTAAAATGTGAACTTTCATTCCTTGACAAATGCATATCAACTTTAATTTGATCTTTCATATTAAATAAGGTTTTTTAATTCATATTTCAATAGAGCATATTTTCAAACACTTTATTAAAAAATGTAGAAGTCTCTGTCTTTGCATATACCTGTGTCAGAATCCTTCTCTTGAGTTTTTAAGACATCTGATTCAGACAGTCCAGATCTGTTTCACTATCAAAGCAGTCAACTCATTAAATATCTGACCTTTGTAAATCTCTTCATTCATCCAACTTAAAAAACAGGTACAACCAAGTGTTTCTCTCTTTTCTTTACTCATGTGTGTCCTTCACCCCCTCTGCTATTATTTAAAGTATTCCCCCTAGTAGCCCCTCATCACCAGGCTGCTGATTTCAATCTGTGGCTAAGACTCTGGTTTCTCTCCTACAATTCCACATAGCTCTTTGCACCTTCTGGTCTCTTCTGGCAGGTTCTTTGGAGCTTTGTTATTAAAGGCAGCTTCCTAAACACCACATTACTCACTCAGCATCTCACTCAGCTTTCTTAAACAATAAAGTATTAACAGGATAACAGTATTATGATTTTAAATACTGGCTCACACATGTATCTCTAGTTTAAGTGAAAATGGCACTACAACGTAATTACTATAATAAGATTACTTATATTACCATATTATTAGACATATTACTATGTCTAAATATTACCTATATTGCTGTAATAAAATACTATATGAGCCATATATTGTATATAATAATCACTCTCTGTATGCTCTATAGATATATAGCCCAAGATACGTGTTACTTAATTCAAGTAGTTTCAAGAGTTTTCCATTGGATCTCTTATAATAGGGCCTGAGCAGCAAGCATTTTTATGATTGGCAACCTAAAGCTCATGAAAGCTAAGAGAATTAACTTACTTCAGAATTCAATTTAGTGGCTAACATGGAATTAGATCCCAGATCAAAATTTTATTACTGTCTACCTTTATATTAACTTTGATAGATTTCCATGAAATAATTACTATAAGGGATTTTTTTCTCTTATATCTTTATCATCTTTACTGTTTTCTTTTTGAAGTCCATTAAGCCTTATGGGGTTGTTTCTTTTTTTTTAAATTTAATTTTATTATGTTAGTCACCATACATTACATCATTAGTTTTTGATGTAGTGTTCCACGATTCATTGTTTGCGTATAACACCCAGTGCTCCATTCAATACATGCCCTCTTTAATACCCATCACAGGGCTAAAAAAAAAATACCCATCACCAGGCTAACCCATCCCCCCACCCCCCTCCCCTCTAGAACCCTCAGTTTGTTTCTCAGAGTCCATAGTCTCTCATGGTTCGTCTCCCCCTCCGATTCCCCCCCTTCATTTTTCCCTTCCTACTATCTTCTTCTTCTTCTTCTTTTTTAAACATATAATGTATTATTTGTTTCAAAAGTAAAGGTCTGTGATTCAATAGTCTTATGCAATTCACAGTGCTCACTGTAACACATACCCTCCCCAGTGTCCATCACCTAGCCACCCCATCCCTCCCACCCCCCACCACTCCAGCAACCCTCAGTTTGTTTCCTGAGATTAAGAATTCCTCATATCAGTGAGATCATATGATACTTGTCTTTCTCTGATTGACTTATTTCACTTAGCATAATACCCTCTAGTTCTATCCACATCGTTGCAAATGGCAAGATTTCATTTTTTTGATGGCTGCATAATATTCCATTGTATATATATACCACATCTTTTTTATCCATTCATCTGTTGATGGACATCTTGGCTTTTTCCATAGCTTGGCTATTGTGGACATTGCTGTTATAAACATTGGGGTTCACGTACCCCTTCGGATCACTACATTTGTATCTTTGGGGTAAATACCCAGTAGTGCAATTGCTGGGTCGTAGGGTAGCTCTATTTTCAACTTTTTGAGGAACCTCCATACTGTTTTCCAGAGTGGCTGCACCAGCTTGCATTCCCACCAACAGTGTAGGAGGGTTCCCCTTTCTTTATGGGGTTATTTCTTTCATTTTATTTCATTTTACTCCCACCTTTTATGAGGTTGTATCTCAAAAACACCATAGTTCCTCATTTAAATAAACTCTTGTATTTATTTTTAATGCTGAAAAATATTTTTATGTTACTAAATTTTAACATTTCTTCAGCCTATATAGACTTTCTTTTCTGTTGTGGTTTAAATTTCATGTATCATAAAAACACAGTAGCCAAGTCTCATAAAAAATTTAGTGGGCATCTTTTCCATAAGTAAATTAACCATAATTGCAATAATATGCTCTTGTAATAAAAATAGGCAAATATTTAAGCCTATCATAAAGATTAAGGTTCTCTTAAAAGCAAACATGCCTTGAAGAACATGCATTGATCCTAAAGTATGGATATACTTTCACTGCAACTAAGGTGGTGTTCCCTATGATTCATGAAGATTTGTCCATGAAATCTGGCCAGAAACCTTTTTCAGTCTTTATCTGCATTGTGAGGACCCAGTTCCATTTCTTTCTTTTCCTATCCAAGAGATGGTTGTAAGGCTTTGAGAAAATTAATGCAAACAAAAACAAAAACTTGAATCACATGGCAATACCAGAAACCCTTGCCATGATATTTATTTCTTTAATGTTGCCATGGAATCTTACTTTCTAAATAGTGAAACTTATTACCAGAAATGATGTTAGAAATATTCAACACCTAATCAGAACGCGTGCTACCCAAGCACAACAAATACCTGCTCTGAGCATTTGATACAGGAGTATTAGTAAGTATAGAAGCCCCATATTCATAACTTTCTCCATTTCTGTTATTGGAATATTTTCAATTAATAAAAAACTACTGGGGTGCCTGGTGGTGCCGTGGGTCAAGCTGGCCAACTCTTGGTTTCAGCTTAGGTCGTGATCTCAGGGTCATGAGATGGATCTCATTGGGATCTGCACTCAGCGCAGTCTGCACAAGATTCTTTCCCTCTCTCTCTGCCCCTCCCCTTGCTCGTGTGTGTGCTCTCTCTCTTAACATAAATAAATAAATCTTAAAAC